AGGCCAGACAATTTACCAATTTAATTATAGTCTTATTTATCAAAATATTCATTCCCAAAATTCCAATTAATAAATGCTCCCGATCGAGACACAATTGCTTATACCAGTCTTGTAAGTATTATTAGTTAACAGCAGGACGTAATTTCGATAATTGAAGTTCTGAAACCTAAAAGATTTACAGATAAAGAAATAATTAATTATCGAAAACAATAGAGATTAAGGAAGTAACTCAGTTGTACAGGTTGGGTATAATACACACTCACGTCATGTGTGTAAGTTTTGTGTATACGCGTTATTATATATTTTTCTCTTAGTTGGTTGACACGTGGCTGGTTTAACTAATTTCACTTCTGTTTCTTGTGGAACACAAACGACAAAACCAAGAGTTTGGAGTACATTGAACCAAGAGTTTTATCTACATAATTAGTTAAGTGATAAGGCAAATGAAGGGAAAGAAAAGACAAGAATGGTTGAGTTACGTGTGCTAATTAATTTATATGCAGTTTTTTCCCCCCTCTGAAAGAATTGATTTGTAGTTGATGGTAAACTAAAAAGATTTCATAAAACAAAATCATGGTTCTTATCCTAAGTTAACATGTCGTGTTTCACATTTATAAAATCTATATTTGAATGTCACATGGGAATTTAAAAGAAGAATTAATTTTTATACAATATCTGATAGTATATACGTTATCATCATTGGATGAATAACAAATATTAATTTGAATTTGAATTTAAAATCTAATTTTGCATATGTGATGCATCTAATTGTGATAGTATATACACTGTCAATATATATATATATATATATATATATATATAACGAACTCTTAAAAGAATTACAAACATCTTTCTCATTTCAATCTTGAATATATCCTTAATTGGATCAAATCTTGTGGTTACTTCTTGTTAGTGGCTAGTCACAGCTCCATTTGGACGAAGGATTTGTCCCTAAAAAATACGCATTTCTTAAAGCTTCTTAAGACGTTTTTAAATTACATTTTCAACGTATACATTCATTTATAAAACAAAGCAAAAAGCGTTGTAATAATTTTTCTGAAAATACACCTATAAAAATTACAATCGACATAATTTGAAGCATAAATCAGATTCAGATTTCGATAATTTCTAGGCTAATTTTGTCTGCTTAGAACAACGCAACGTTGTTATACATGCATGTGCCACGTTCAACTCCCTCAGACACAAAACCTGAGGTATTTTTATACAACAAAAAATGTAATAAAATAAAATAAGAAAATCAAATGAGCAATCCAAAAAAAAAAAAACTGCAGGAAGAAACAGAAGTCATTTAATTTAACCAAACCCCACCCCACCGATCTCGATCGCATTAAATACAGGTACAGCGTGTATCCTATGTAGAAATAAATACTGGTCGAAGAACACAGTAAAAAATTACCGCTATCAAGAAGAAAGGAGAATATGGAAGACACAACTTCAACAAGAAGAAGTTCTGGAGTTGGTGATCATGATGTTTATAATCCATGCAGTTTTTTAAGGAAAGCTGTAAGTGCCATGCTAAAGTGCTTAGGATTTGATGAAGCAAAACCATATGTTGATGATCATGGCAACAAATCTTCATCATGCTCCAAGGAGAAGGATGAAGAAAAGTTTAACAATGAACGAAACGGTTGCAGTGGTCAAGATGACCAGTCCTCCTATTCACCTCTAGATCCACGTTCATCAATGGATCCAGCAGATGATCCCCCCATGGTAAGAGACCTACTAGTTTCGTTCTTTCATTTTCTTAGCTACCACTTTCTTTTGCTTTTAATTTTTGGCGCCATATATTTCCTCTTAGCGGATGGGGTACCATGTTTATTCCCATTTCTTTTTTGTGTCGAGTGTGATGTGAAATTTGATTAATTTTTGGAGGGTTTCTAATCTGATGCTGTACTGCTAATTATGTGTGTAATATATCAGGAGGATTTAGCAGGGCGTGGAAGAACTCCTCCGAGGCCAGGAATTCGCACAGGAAATCCTCAAACCAACTCCAGTTCCTCGTGATTAATATTTCACCAGTTTGCTCTTTGATTTGCATGCGTCAGTGTACATATATAATCAAACATATAATCTATGTGTTTGTGGCTGAATTTTTTCCCCCTGTTTCTGTAACTCTTTGGCTTGACAGAGATTACTAGAATAACTTTCATATTTTAGTTAGTAAATTATGCGTACTGATTATTGCTACTTGTGTGTTTAATGGCTGATAGACATTGATGGTGGCTTGAATGAACATGTTTTTTTTTTTTTTTTTAGAACGAAAACATATAAATGAAATAAATAAACATGGTTTTCCGACCAACAAGGTCACCAAAAATGGTAAAACTAGTATTACAATTTGCCCCAAAGAGATGATTGATAAGCCTGACAAGCTTTAGCTTAGTAATTTCTTGTTTACTTGTTCTCATTTTTTTTTTTTTTTGGTTGAGTAAATTTTTTTTTTTTTTGAATTTAAGCGGATTGGATTCTCATTGGAGTCTATGGACTACCTGACTGTTGGGATTCTCAAATTTCATTACTGTAGTCCACAACGAGATTATTGTACAGAGAGCTTTTATGATTTCAACTTACGAAGTAGCAGTACACATGCTTCGAATTAGTTTAAATTTCACTATATCTACACTATTCTCCCTCACAAAAAAAAAAAAAAAAAAAAAAAGCTTCAACTTTGAATGTAGTTGGTTTATGTGAAGTTTATATGATGGATTTTAGAATTGTGTCCATCCGAATCTAATTCTTGGTCAAACTTTAATGGAAATATGAAATCTTATTTGCGACTAAAATAAAAAGTTGCCAAAACTTTTCATCTGTATCTGGAATGCCAGGTACTTCAGTTTAGTAGTATTATTTATCTATGCAATTTCTTCTACATCATCATCAATCTTGAATCAATGGTTCTGCATTCAAGGAACATCATCATCAATCTTGAATGCAATTGATTCAAGTGCAATCATTTCGTTTGAAGGCTGCAACAATTTTTTGCTATGTGTGCTTCTTTCTCCTTTTGTTTCTAAACTATAAGCATATTACCCACATAGATTAGCTATTTTTAGGAGTGTTTTTGAAATATTTTTCTGTAATAGTATATATGAAAAACTTTTACTATACAAATTTTTTGTGATATTTTTGAAGAGATTTTTGGAATATATTTTGGAGTACTTTTTAAAATTAAAATATTTTAGGAAATTTTTTAAAAATTAATACTATCACCCATAATTGCCACCACCGCCACCCCTTCCTCTCCTTCTCCTCCCTTTTCCCGTTCCCTCTTCCTCCTCCCCTCCTCTTCTTCTCCACTCTCCAGCCCTCCCATCCCCTCCCTTGATTTGGTCACTGCTAGATCACAACCAGAAAGTTGTGACCTTCTAGTCGCGATCTAGCCATGACTAGATCGCGGCCTCTAGTTACACTAGATCGAGGGGGAAGGGAAAGGGAGGGCCGTGAGTGGGGAAAGGGGAGAGGACGAGAAGAGGGAATGAGAGGGAGAAGGAGGAGAAGGAGAAAGAGGGAAAGGGAGGAGAATGAAGAAGGGAGAGGGCGATGGTGAGTGGTGGTGGGTGGCGGTGAAAGGAGAAAAAAGTTGTAGAATTTATTTTTTTAAATTTTTTGTGTGTGTTTGTGAGTTATTTTAAATATATTGTATGAATGAGATTTTTCGAGTTTTTTAATTTATGTATTATTGTAGCATTGTATTTAAAAAAAATTATTTTTTAAAAAATAGGTCAATCCAAACGGAGCTTATAATTTTATAAAGTCATCTAATTATATTATTACTTTACTTTTGATCTCTAGATTAATATACTAAAGAATGATGTTCTTTCGAGAATATTTTGGTGTTCAATTTATATGAAACATTTGAATATTGAAAAATAGGTCAAAAGTATAACAAAATTTATAATGATTAATCAGACGGTAAGATTTAATCAATTTTATTTAAATTTTTTTGTATGACTAACACAAGTAATGAAATATTTAATGAACGGTGTTAATTTTTTAAAATAATTTTGTTGAGTATGATCTAGATTAGTTCTCTCTAATGCATCGAATAGAAGCCTACTCCTTTTTTACCTTATTTTTGGTGCTCCCTCCTCTCTCTAATGGTTTTTCCTCCTCTCAACCTTGAAGAAACCAACTACGAGTAGAGAGCGTGTTGGAAATTTATCCAGATTGTGTTCACTTCGTTAATTCGACTGGATTCTCCTGTATTTCTTCTAGGGAAAACTGCACCAAAAAAAAAAAAGGGAACAGCAAAACATAGACTCTAGAACAACGTTGTCAAAAACTCGAATCGTGGTGGTGGAAGACAAAATTTTGGACCACCAACACACACCGACAGTTCTAACTCCTACGAACATAAAAAAGAATATGAAATCAAGTTACAAGAAATTATGTTTCTCCAGCAGAGGAGACACAAAGGTCCACGATTTTACAGAAATTCATGTTATTACTCCACGCCTTTGCGATCTCGATCTGCTGTCGTTCTCTGTGCTTTCTAACTCAACCAATTAAGGATGTATTCCTATATATATAGACATGTCTCAAACATTATAGAAGGTTGCGAGTTGCTCCGCAGGGCAATGGTAGAAGTGATTAATTGGTCCACATGGGCTCTTTCGGCTAATTAATCTAGAATTGTGAAACCTATTTGTTAAAATATATATCTCTTCTGGATGTCTGTTGGAACAAAAATGAGAGGGTTAGCATAAAATCTAGGAATTATTTCCCTAGCCTCAATCCTGTGCTAATGAGAACGAAGTCGAAAATGAGCTGCCAACAGGAGCCTACTTGCTTTTGAATAGGAATTTGTGTGGCCGTTTTCCTTCTTTCAAGATACTAATTACAAGCAGACACCTTATTATGTAAGAAATATAGCATCTTCACGATTGCACAGAAGCTTTTAGTGTCGTATTTCACCCTCTTCAAGTGAAAAAGATTACGTAAAAGAAGAACCCTTTAATTTGATCATTTCAGATTAAGCATGCAAAAACAATGACATTTAATTCTGTAACCATGAAAGATGGTGAGAAAGTGCTCATTTTGCAACACATTCTGATTCTGAGCCATATGCAAAAAATTCCATTTAGCCGTAACTAAAAATCATCCATAAATAAGAGGCACTCAATCCTTTTGTGTGCCATCAAAGCTGGATTGGCGGAATGACTCCAAGACAGAAGCAATGAAAAGAGACTCATCATCATCATCTTCGAAACTGCTTACTTCCGCGCAGCTTTGATGAACTTCTTCCAAATCAGGAGTTGGTGGTGGAGGCGGAGGCGGTGACGGCGGCGATGGTGATGTTGATGGTGATGGCAAAGCCAAAAAAGGGTAAACGAAATTGGTGCGGGCTTTTTGAATGCCACTGAAAGAAATGGACGCAAGATCATAAGCCACAGCAGCTTCTTCAGCAGTGTCAAATGTGCCTAACCAATGTCTTTCTTTTGTGTATGGATTCCTTATCTCAGCTGCGTATCTTCCCCATTGCCTCCTTCTAACTCCTAGGTATCTAGTCGAGCGTCTTGAGCTTCTTCTCCCTTGATCTCTGGCGACCATTTGAGAAAAATTTTCCATGTTATTTGGACCCGGTTTCTCTTGAGAAGCAAGACAATAGGTATAGGTATTTAGAGATCTGCTGCCCAAGAACCAAAATGAGCGAGGCTTGTAATTTATACTAGCGAATGACATGAATTGAAGTGGCTCTTTCTTTGTAATTTAAAACTAAGCGGATACTTTCACGATAATGTTTTCAAATCCTGGTGGGTTTGGTCTGCTCGCTAGCGTACTTCAATCAAATTGTCGAAACTCTCGTTCAAAGAAAAGGGGATTTGTTTGTTTGTTAATTCGATGATTTTGGTTTCGTCCCTCTCGAATCCCACAAATAAATGTCACAATAGCTTTCGAAGGGGCACATCAAATTAAATAATTAAGTCGCAATTTAGCGACACTCCATCGAGCATCCCACGTAAATTTGACAAGACTGATTCATTTTTCTAACCCCCCCCCCCCCCCAACCCAAAAAGTGTTATTTGCGTAGTATTTAGTTGTCAAGTGGGGCAGTTGAGTTGGGCAGCATTGCTCCTTTGATCACAATATAATAGTGTAAACACACCACCAGTCAATTGTTTCTCTAATGGACGTTTATTTGGCATTGCATCCTTATTTCCCTCCCAAGTGACATGACTAAGGTGAGCAAAATGCCCAAATTCTTGCAAATCCATGTTGCATTATTACACTTGTTGGCTACAAACATCTCTCTTCCATCCTGAGGAATTATTTATTTCTCATATTTTAGATGCAATGCATTGCACTTCCCTCAACTAGTGTCAATATCAAAAATGACATGATAGAAAGCTGGTGCTATTATAATTAGCACGTGTGTAGGGGGCCGTGATATTGGAGTTTAGTCACAAAGGACGGTTTCTTCAAGCTGAGAAAATGTTGGGAGACAAACTTGCGGAAAAATGTGTGAATATATACTACTACAAATTAAAAAGCACGAACATGCGTGCATGACAAAGATGCGTGCCATCAGCCTTGTTGGGGGAAAAACTCACAGTGCGTTCTTAGAATAAACGCATTACCCCCACAGATATGCGGCATGAGACTTGTCAATTTCAGGCATGAAACATGACATGGAGCTTTCTGCCTGTGGTTTTCTTGGCTCCAAATCAAGCACGACATAATGGCGTGGATGTGTTGCTGTACTTGCAAAAGTATGCCTCATCCTTTAATTTTTGGATCAATCACTACTTTTGGTTGAATTCGATAACCCCACATCCAGGAAATGGGGCAAAAGAGAAAATAAAGGAGAGAACACCTTAGCAATGTTGGATGTGTTGAAGAAAGGGTTGCTGATGATTTGGAGTTGCAAAATGAGAATAAGCTTCAAGTAATTGTCGTGGCAGTCACAAGGAAGCACTTATATTGAGGGTGCCTTGAACCAAAGCCTCTTTGAATCACATTTAGATTTCACTCGCACGAATAACGTTGACATGCCGCCATTCACCTTAACTTTTTGGCCTATGAAATCTTTCAAGCAAACGTCGATGCCAAAAAAAAAAAAATCTATACAAGTGCAGAAGAAATTGTAAAAGATTGAGAGAAATGCGGGTCATTACAGACTATGTAAGCTTTCGCCACAATGAGACTTTAGAAACTGATAGGCACTTCACTCTTGGAAATACAAAACCGGCCTTGGGAGGATTGCCATCCACAAGAGAATGCTCGTAGATGTCTTTGCATTCCTGAACAACCTGGTGGCCGAATAAAATCTTGTCATTATATGCATAATAACTAACTCGAGAGAGAGAGATTCAAGGTTCTCCCAGTGTCAGACAAATTAAGTGCTAATGCTATAGCTCATTAAGACTGTCATTTTGACATCAGTAAATGTTGACTAACAATTATCAGTCGATTCTAAATTTCACCAGTAGCGCACTTTTTACTCATTATGTATCAAGAATGTTTTCCTAGAATCTGTGATCATATTTTTGCTCTTTAGATGCTTCAGCAAAGCATATCGGCAGTTTCCAAAAAATCCTGATTCAATGATTTCAAACTTACTATCCTCAAACCTACTACAGATGTAAATTTACCTCTTTGGCATCTTTACGCGGTATACCTTCTCGGAGTCCCACAATTTTCTCAACAACTTCAGGCTGTAGTACAGAATGGAGGTTAATAGTGGTGAAACAAATATAAAAATGGATATATGATGCACGCATCTCACACCCAAAAAAGTTAAGAAGCAAAAGTCACTGCTTAATAGGACTTACAGGACAATCAGGTTGATGGTCAAGAATATTGGTGTAAACGAGAGTAAACGAATCTGGACTCTCGATGAAGCAAGTTCTCTTAAGTCACCGACTATTTTTATTCTGCCCTCAATTTTCTGTCCAAAAGGAAAGACAATCCACATCAAGCTGTAATATTTAAATAATAGAGGAAGAAAAATGGGTCCAACTCCACGTACAGATGCAAAAATATATAGCTTGACTCTGCAATCCATTATAAGTACAAATGTTAAGAGACCAACAAATGCAACAATGGATGGGGAGAGTATGCACTATAATAATAATAATCAAATCACCTATATACAGGAATTTAATAAAAGTAATATTTTCACAAACAATAACTTCTTGTCTTCTAATAAGTCAATACAAAGACGCCAAGAATGTAAAGGTTTTGGAATCAAAAGGCAAGGGGAATCTAAAAATTATGGAAATATCAAGGGAGAATGACTTACAGAAACACTGATGTACTCTCGGAAAAAGTCCAGGATAACCTCCTCATCCAGCCTCATCCTTTCAATTGTTTCTTCCTTGATATAATTTTTCTATAGAACATATCCAGTAAAGAATATCAATTTGTTGAGAGAAAAAGTATCATCTCAAAGTACTTGCAATACAAAAAGAATCAGGACAAAATGGCAAATTGTGTAGCAATGAAACCTGGGTGAGAAGATGATCAACATAAACCACAACAGTTTCCTCCAGGCAAGCCTCAACGAATCTCCTGAATGATCTTTCTTCTATGTACCTTGTTAAAAAGAGCACACAAAATCATAAGAGTTAACGTTGGTGCATGAACCGGAAAGCAGGTCATTCAAGAACTAAAAATTATATCAGCCTGGAATTTCAGAATTGCCAAACTTTGAGGATCTCAGAATGAATGAATTACTCAAGTTGATGACAACTTACATTTTCACATCTGTAAAATAATCACCAAATGTTGCAACTAGGTACTCAGTGACCTGTCCTTCCAACCAATCTGGGCTTTACAACAGCAGAGGTAAGCAGACCAAATAGAAACATGTCCGAAGGCAAACAAAAGTTCTTTGTTTATCTAATTAAAGGAATTAATAACAGTGAGATCACCTAAAAGAACTCTGGGCAAAAATCTATACAAACGACCAACTTGCTTAGATGAACCAGAGCTCATATCCAGTTCACCAACACAATGCAAATTAATCGTTTAGGATATCTGCATGCAAGGTAACTATCAGCTTATTAAGGATTAAACCATTTTACAAAACTGTCTTTAAATCATTTTGGTTAGATTTCCTTGGAATGACAAGCACTTTTACAGCTTTAGAGAGTTAAGGTGATTCTTTAATTGAAAAGACAAGTTGCCAAAGCCTTCTCCACAACCCCTCCCCCCCCTCACCCAAAAAAACAAGGCCCAATATGTCCTTGAAATCAGAAGCACTTTACTCATTTAGGGAGTTAATGTGAGTCTTCGGCGAAGAGACAAGTTGCTAAAATTTTTCCCAAAAAGAACGGGAACAATGTAGTGGATGCACAAAATTACATTTTCATTATATGCTATATCAAATCATACTAGCTTCACAATGCAATTCAACAAGAATTTTCCAACAATATGTACAATTTTCCAGTAACTTCATCCATCTGTTTTTACAGAAGTATTGCTCTCTTTCTCTCCATCTAAACTGAGATGAATCTGCTCAAAATGCTGTCTTGATTCAACAAGATATGAAACGTATGACACAGGAATTATAAGGATGATAATGGGCTAGTAGTTCTAATGGCACTTTTCTATCAATAATCCACTACTTACTTGAAGTAGATAAATGATTACAACAAGACCGCTTAACAGATTATTTCTGAAAAGAAACATACTACAGATGTTAACCTACAAAATCTGAAGATATTGGAAGTGCTGGCTCTTTTTACACTAAAATTTGAACAAAAAAGGAAATACTGTCATTACCACAAAACAAAACCGAGTATAATTTCCGGAAACACAGACATAGAAGAACTTATTTACCAAAAACTGAATCTAAAAGAAGGGGTGTAGTGGTGTAATTTATTCACCTTTTTGATATAGCTTGACAAGTAACTCCTGCACTCCTGGATCTTCAAAAATGACGCTGACAGTTTGATGAACAGCTTCCTGGAATTAATAGAAGATTTAAGTAAACATGATCATTCAAGCACGCACACAATTAATGGAGTCTTCACAGAAGAGCTGATTGAGTTGCAATCCGGAAGGAATAATGAGAACAAGCTAACATTATCACTCCCTTCTCCAAAAAATACAATTACTAGTAAAAGAATATTTTCAATTTTAAAGTTCTCCAAAAAGAGAAAACCTTTTCACAGAACTCAAAAAATGTACACAATGCATCAATATACACTATTAAATGCAAATATGATCGGTTAGGAGTGTAATAGGACATATGGTTAAAGGAAAACTAATTTATCAAAGAACAGAGATAGAAACTTTTTTTTTCTTTCAACTCTCACATACACGTGATACCCATCTTGTCAATATACACAGTGCATAGGGCTTAGTTGTATGCATCTAATAGAATGGCAATACATATTGCTTCAAAACTATAGACATGGATTTGGAACTTCATAAAAGAAAAAGGTAGGAGCATCAACATACTTTTGCAACCTCCAGAAAACCTTTGCATGTATCCTCAAAATTAACCTGCAAATGTGAGTAAGCACGTGTCAGAACACATGAATAATTATCATACTGTACATGTAGCATAGCAAAAATAGAGTGGGAGAAAAGCAAATGGCCAGTAAAGTCCATCTGCCAAAAAGAAAAAATGCAACAATATAAGAAATTTATAAGCATGAATATCTTCTGAGCTATGCCCGGCATACATTCTGTAGTCTCTAGTGAAGAAAGTAGCTCCTGATTGATGCATTAGCTATCCTGATTAATTAAGGTTTTGTAACACAATAATACCTACCCTCTTTCACCCTCCCGACTGAA